CTTATTCGTAGAAGCCTCTGACTATCAGCCCCCTTCTGCATTACTCAGATGACAGAAGGTAGATAAACGTCTGCTCCTGAGTGAGCACAATCCTTTTTATCGCAGACCCGCAAGGTGAGCTCTCCTCACCCCAACTTTGCAGGCTCCGAAGAAGGCGACACGCCGAGACATCAACTTGAAAATTTGTATCCATTCGAAAAATTGAATTTGCAGAAGTACTATTTCCTGCAGTTTATAACCTAGTAGATGCAGAGATGCTTTCATATCTCGTTACCTAGATGGATCAGGGGCGCTGTTTATCGACGGGGGGGGCATTCTGCTTTTCATAGATTTGCCAACCCATCTAGGTACCCTTTTTTCGAGTTGACACGTTTTAGGATGGTGGCTAGACGATCTTGCTCCAGCTTCACAAGTTTTACCAGAGTGAGATTTGTAAACCGGAACCAGGGAAGCAATTATAATACAAAATGCCCCCGTCGATAAACAGCGCCTGGATCAGGCAATTTTTACGGCCCGCATTTTCTTGCCTAATATCCATCCTAGCATCATCACCGTGGATTGGCGAATATTGTTCCTGAGATTGCGGGGCTACCTGAGTTATGATTTCAAAGGAAAAACCCGCGACTGCATGTTGTATGTAGTGTCGTTCAATACCGAACGTATAGTCGGCAGGTCATGGAAAACACTCCCCGGCAGCCTCAATGTCCACACCAACTTATCTCAGAAAGCTAAGTCAGAAAAGCTATATCCTCCTTCACTGACTCGCTATACGTCTTCTAAATCTTCCAATAGAGAGTACAGAAAACGGAAAATACGGTGCAAAAGCTGAACCCGTATAAAAAGTGGCTTCTTAGCTTTGACTGGCGGGCAACTGGGGGGCACCAGAACTGCCACTTACAAGAGCCACAACGCTTCCGTTATTCACTGCGAAGCCGCGAAGTGATACAGCGTTAGAGACTGGAGGTCAGACTACTCGAGCGAGGAAGGATATTTCCCAATTACTTGAGACGTGGATTGTCTTCGAGCGAGTGGTTAAAGACACATGGTACGATCACACATAGTTTGGGTGTGCGTGACTATCAGCCCCCAGCTGTCGAAGCGTAGCGGTTTCACCGTCCTAACATGCGCAGGAAATGGATATACTCCGCCCAATGCCTTTTGCGGCGCAGACTCCCGTTTATGCTAACAGCCGTCCGCGCGGCGCGTGTCGCGCGCAGCGCTCTTGGCACTTTGCCAAGTCCTGTAATTGCGCTTTGGAATACAAGTAAAACGCAATTTCCTGATGCGGATAACATTTGAGGTGTTGCTCATGCTGCAAAGTCCGAATAGAAGGTGATGAAGATGACAAAGGCTAGAAATGAAGAACAACGAATGTAGATGTAAATAAAACAAAAATGAAAAAATTAAGGAAATGCAAATTAATTAAAATCGCGTGTAAATTTCTGCAATTCGGCGCGATTCCGGCTCCAAAGCCATAAAAATACTTTAAACTAACGAGTGGGACGCTTAGGCCGTTTTTTCATGTTTTGTGGGAATGCGCGGCCTCCGAGGGATATTGCAGAAGCAGCAGTTGCTCTTGAGTCATCATCTTCGGTTCTTATTTTGCAGCACCTAAAATGTTATCCGCATCAGGAATTGCGTTTTACTTGTATTCCAAAGCGCAATTACAGGACTTGGCAAAGTGCCAAGAGAGCCGCACGCGACACGCGCGCTTACGACGGATGTTAGCATGAACGGGAATCTGCGCCGCAAAAAGGTATTGGGCGGAGCATGGAGGAATTAGCGTGTTTCACGGTCCTGTATCTCCATTCCTGCGCATGTTAGGACGGGGAAACCGCTACGCTTCGACAGCTGGGGGCTGATAGTCACGCACACCCAAACTATGTGTGATCGTACCATGTGTCTTAAAAGGCAGTTGCCGCGATTGGTGGAGTTCGAAAAGTTCGAAATAAAAGTGCAGTGGGCTCAGTTACTAAATAAAGAGTAAAAAAGAATGAAAAAACTGCTATAAGATCCTCTCTATTGCAGTTATTCGTGATCACTGGACGAGTATAGGTTTGTAACACTGTGATTCGCAAAAGGTGATGTCTGACAGGAGAGGAGAGGGGCCAGGAAACAACGGGTGCGAGAGTACAGTGGGACTGTCACAACGACATAGGAAGTGGGCCGGCATGAGCCTGTTGGGCGCCCATGGGCTTAAAACGTGAGCTTCCTATCCTTGGATTGGCAGTTTTCAACTTCTGGATGCAGTACAGCCCTGCGTTTGCCTACATACATAGTCATTGTGCCTCAAGAGATTAAAGATCAGTCAATCGCGGACCGTGCCTTTAACTTTTTGCATCCGAACGCATTGAATGGATCAAGTTTGGCACAACTGTTGCCTGTGATAACTTTTCTTCATAAAATACATGAACCATGGAACCGAAGACTATACAGGAGTACAAATGAATCTCTTGCCATTACAAGTGACATTTTGACAGTTGAAATGGACAACTCCTCGCTGACCTTTGGATCTCCTAAATGGACTTTTGTCAGCTTTGTTGTAAAATCCATGAACTTTGTTTTTTGAATGTGTTAGACAAACGGGATGTTCTTTGAAGCTTTCGATGCAACACAAATATTATTTTGGCTCGCTCTTTTGCACTCACTGATCACTGTATTTATTGACACAGTCACGTGTAAAACAAACACAGCCATTCACAGCTTTCACAGCCTGTAACGATTGCGGTCGTTATGGCATACGATCCTTACGATATTTAAGGAGAACGACTAATATTAATGAAGAAGCAGAAAAAAACAATAATGACTCTTTTTCACCGCTACGGTGACTCAGCGAGGTTCCCTTCGTGCGATACACAGTATTTCAAATTATTTCTTCAGAATTCAATCATGAAATGTCATTTCGTGGAGGGCACTGTATGTCGCGAAAGCGACTTCAACCTTTGAATTCTCAAATTGTCAGGTTATATTATGTTATATTTGTATTTTTGTGTCATGTGCTGTTTGTTTGCTTACTAATATGAAGTTTAGTTCAGATTTGTTCAGTTAAACCAGCTTAAGCAATTTGATCGCGGCAGATCATTCAAAACGATCCACACATCGATCTGGCGGGAACATGGCCTATAAAAGGACAACGCCGACGCGGTTTGGCACTTCGACACTTTTCGCCTTTCGACTTCAGCTCGTCTTTGACTATTTCCTTTGGCTCCTCGGAGCCCATCTTATCGATCTGTCGGCATAAACTGTTCACATCTTGATCCTCTTCTTGTGCCACCTTCAGTCCACCGATTGATCGCTCAAGTTTGGTGTCAAGTTCAAGTTCAAGTTAACCGCGTGGCTGGATTTCAGAATCCAACGGCGAGCCTCTACCAGATCACCCAATCTTGCGCGATACTGTACTTGTTCTCTTGAATATCGTAAAACTGGAAAATCGCTGCCCCTATCGTTACCTGTTTGCAGCAATGGGGCGAACACCGGCGAGGTTGGGTTCGTGCAGCTCGATTAAAGGAAAGCCCGCAACTAGAGATGGTGAGTAATGGAGTTCAAATACAATAAAGTGGTAGGTAGCTAAATAGTGGAGAAAAACCCAAAGGAGGTAAAGTGCAGTATGTAAGACTCCATGCCGATCCCATCTCGTACGTGCACACAATGAAGAAAAGGTGCGTTCGCACGGGTTTCCATTCTTCGTTATCAAACGATATCAGATTATTTTTTCCTTCCATTGGAGTTAGCAGGTTCCGTGGGGTGGTACTCATAGCCCGATTTATTCAGATTCCACCCGGAATTTTGCACTGTTAATATTTGAATGTGGCACAGGCCCTCCACAATCGCCTAGGCATCTGATACATTCGAGGGAATACAGCCTTAGTTCATCGCGGGACATGCCTTTTGATCGTATGCGTAATGATGAAAGTAAAGTAGATGGCATATGGCATATAGCGCATTTGCGCGCAGGGCACGTCCTGCCTTCAAGGGGGCCTTTTGCAAAATGTCACCTCGCCTCGAAAGTTTCTTACTCTGGTACAGCCCGCTATCTCCATCCTCATTCCGCTTACCTTTTTTCCTTGATATTTCAAGTGTTCCAGCTTCCGGCCATTTTTCGTAGCTTTTTTTTCTTCCTCTTTCTCCCCAAAAAAGGCCATCGAGCGAGGGTATATAGCGCTTTTCAAACCGTGAGAAGTCAACAATCGTGAACAGTTTTCTCAAGGACACTCCTACCACTCACTCTAGCGACAGAATACGACCCTAGCAAGACCCCCCCCCACATACGATATGTCCAGTTTGGGAGGCCAATATGAACAACCAACCTTTGGACCTATGGTTTTGAGTGCTCATCGTTTGCCGGGTCCAGGAAGCCCTCATGTGAGGCAAGGTAGGGAGCTGCCTTCTTAAATGCCTAACTCTCTTTCGTGGTTAATCACGACGGAACGATTGGGCAAGATTGCGGTAACGTCTCTCTCGAACAAGCCTGTCCTCTTCTTCAACATGTCCCGCATCTAAACATTTTTTCAAGGCAGTTGACCCGATAATTTGGTTCTTTGCTTGAAATGGTAGTAGTGGTGCTAAAAAGTGGGAAAACGGCGAAAAAACGAAATGAAACGGTCAAGAACTTGCAAGAAAGGCTTTTGTTCTACACGACTCAGAAAGCTATCTCGGGTGAGTTTCCAACTGGCATCTTGCCAAATTCTAGGCGTATTAATCCGACACGTCTTGGGGATTCATCTCGCCAACTGCATTTAAGACAGAAAAGAGAAAGCATACGCGAACTCAGAAAAAAATTTTATTCGCTCACGCGACACATATACAATTAGTTTATACAATCAGTAGTTTCACCGGTGAATCTGTTGGCAAGATTGATAGTTCCAATGTCGTAAGTCATCTGAGGATTGGCTCCCTTGCTCACAAAGTTATCTGGGATTGTGATGCCGAACTTACGGTAGCAGATCTGAAATGTGACAATTTTCGATCCATTCCCAATGCTCATAGCCAGTTGAACTCACTCCATTGTAGTTACATTTGTGATAGATGTTAACTTTTGGGTCGATTGTGGTTATTTCGGTTTTCGACCCTGACAGTCGAAATTCGCCATTTTGATTAGTGACTCCCTCGGCCATGTTCACGTCAAATGCTGAATAGAAAAAGGTAGATTACTTAATTTATGTATAATTTGCAATGGCTTTCCAATGGCATTGTTTTGAAGCGCTTACTGTTTTCCTTTTCGTAAAGTTTGACTTTCACATTGCTGGCAGGTTGTCCATTGCAGATCAGTCGGCCGCTAACCGCTACCGATTGTGTCGATCCGATTCCTAACAGGGCGGCTGATGATCCAACCAGACAAAGTAGTAATAAAATTTTCATCTTAAACAAGAGTCTTTATTGCAAGGTCAGTACTCATTCGTGACAGACCACGAAATCCAGGAAAATGTTCGTAGGGGGCCAAATATTTTCATGGATTGCAAAAGCGTTTTTGAGGCCATTGAACAAGCTAAGCGACATGAAGAAAGTGTTTGGCAAAATGTTGCCTCTGTAAACCTCGGTGACTTTTATACGCGCTACTGAAAAGTCAACAAGGCGGCATTTCTGTGCTCATAGCGCCTGGTTTTATTTACTCTGTGTTTCCCAACCAAGGGTTCATTCACTAATACCATAAACTCATTTTTCGATACAACTTGAACCAAATTAGTTCACTAGCAATAACTGGCCCTCGGAGAGGAGTTCGCAGATGTGCGTGAAATATGCTAAGCGGTTTGACAGTGCTTCTTAAGCCTCTTTCTCATGTGGGACACTGTCGAGAAACCAATCTTCTCCCGGCGCAGTATGCCGACGGAGTGGGGGGGGGGGCAATTTTGCTCTTCTGCTACATTACTCACCATCGACGTGTCGACCTATCTAGACAGTCTCTTCTCGAGTTAACAGGTTCTCAACATGATGGCTTGAGGCCTTGTTCCACCTTCGCAAGGGTTCATAGGTCTCGCAAGAGTGAGATATGTAAACCGGAACTAAGGAAACAACGACAGTACAAAATTTCCCCCCCCCCTCCCCTCCTGTCGACATACTGCGCCTGTTCTTCCCAGAGCATTGGAAACTTCGAAAATAAATCGAATATCTAAGTGGAAGGACATGGCCTGATCGCAGTAATCTTCAAAATCGCAGTATCCTCAAAACTTGGTTTCTGAACGACGATTAACATCAACTTAATCTATTTTTAGCATGCTTTCTTAGGCCTACTTGATCTTGAGGCAACACGTATTCACGATGTGCGCAGTTAAAAATTCCAGGTGAAACTGTAAAAAGGCGCGGCGAACTTGTGCTGTTCCACAGAACTTTTTCTCGCGGCTGTATCGCTCACCCGCCAATGGCGTGCGAAAAATCCTCGAAGTGCTTTCTCTTAAGGCTGGGTCGTTTTTCAAGCCTTGTGTGCCTTGAAGACAAACCACGCGATTGCATATTGTGAGTAGTGGCCTTCGATAGCAAACCTATGGACGCGCGATTCTCCAGGAAAGAGAACTACAAAAAAAAACAATGCGGATGGTGGAGTATTCGGAATCACGGACCGCGAGACAGTTTCACTGTAAGAATTCTTGTCTTGACCGGGAAACTCCACGGTTCATGCTTACTGCGCAGCGAAGAGGATATTGAAAAATGCGGAGTACAATAACGCTGTACTCGTGCAGGGCTAAGAAGCACCTTTCGCTTATTGTTATTGGTGAGGTTCGCCTGCAAAATGGGACAATCGCAGCATTCCATTTGTGGAGCAATGATTTGTAAACGCCTCGGTAAGCCTCTTCAATGGATAGTACGCCTGGCCCGGTCTTATGAGGTATGAGAGGCTGTTATTACCCCCCATGGCTTGCCCATTGTGCGCAATCGCTCACGAGCAGCATACTTCCATGCTAAGAGTTCGCCATAAATTTGGAGAAAAGCGCATCTTGTGAAATTGTTCACAAGTGAAAAGTGTCGTGCTGACCAGCTTCTCAACTGTTGGCTCATTAGCTGACTGACTCTGTAGCTACAAAGCAGTAAGCGGCACGTTCACCAATTCTTTTGCCTTTGCTGGCTTATCACTCGCTTATGATGACTAACGTAGGTGCAGTGTGAGGTAGAGTCATCCTTTGTTACTCATTACATAGTCTTCAATCGTTGAACTTTGCCGCCGTCACATATCCCGGTATTTGTTCAACACGTCATGATGTTTGTGGTGTGCAAAAGGAGTGACGAATTATTGTTGGCTCCGGTAACAGGTTGTAAGACTATTTTCGGGATAGCGCTGCTCCCTATTCGTCACAAAGAAGGGAAACGGGCAGGCTCTCACAGCAAACGGTGGTTTTCACATTGAACTAGCAGCGTGTGATTCGTATGCACGTTCTTGCTAACTGACACAGGAATTCATTTCATCATTCAGGAATCGGAAAGACATTAGCATAGTGCGTTTAGTATGTACTTCCACTAGTCAATCGCCATTCGCCGGAATAATGCCCCATCATTGCCGCTTATTCAAAGAAGCGGATGCGAAGGGCCTCAGAATGCATGATAATGACCAGACACGTCGTCACCTTGTAGTCAGGTCAGAGCATGGATTGATTGTAAAATTGTGGTCTGGGTCAACCTTAAGTCCGTCCATTCGTAGAATGGCCGGGTAACATGCTCCAACCACTGAAAGCACCTCCTCTACACCAATGCGTTTGATGGATTTCAGTTGACAGCAAGGTTCACTTGGCGAGTGCGTCTGAACCCAGAAATATCGGCAGCAATGCGATGACGATCAAAAGCTCGTACTCTCTCGTGTAATCGAGGATGTTTCAGGAGGGCATTAACGATGTCACTCATACTAATTTCAATCGGCATAGCTGGATAAGAAAACGTAAGAGGATCCAATGGTAAGGCAGAGTCCACATTCACGTTATAATTAGCTTCGTCCTGGACAGCTTAGTGTGAAGCTGAAACGAGCAAACCTGCTTTTACGCCCAAAAGTGAACAAGTGGCAGGTGCGCGGCGTATGGCGGTTAGGTCAGTGACCTCCCCCTAAGATTGATAGATGTCTTACTCACGCTCTCCTTCGTTAGTATCCCCCTCGTTGCTTTTTTTGTGGCCTCTGCGCCGACATCACATTGACTGCTTGTCTTCCGCGTGGCACGAGTAGGGCCTTGATTGAAAGCTCCACGACAGTCTCCTTTCCCTTTTTCTTCATAGGAAGTCAGTTCGCACTTACATACAATTCTGTGTCCCAGCCACGCCACCTACAAACTTTCTCAGCCAGAATCATGAAGATTCTGCATTTGGGGTCAAGCTAATTTGTTCGCAGCATGACTGCGGATCATTTCGCTTAGCTTCGCTCTGGCAATTTGATCGGCCTTTTTAAGAATTGAAACTCTGTAAGGCATGTAGTTCACGTCATTCGATTGGCATGAAAACAATCCTGGCGATAGAATTTCAACTGTGGCATCTTTGGAATATGTGATGTGATGAGGAACTCTGCTTGCTTAGGGAAGCAGGCGCCTATCTGCATATGCCCCCACAACTGATTTTTTTCAACTCGGGAAGTTGGTGGGAACGCTTTCCTGGGCTTTTTCGTGACAGTTGAGGCAAGAACTCTTCGCTCTGGCTTACATTTATGCTTGGATTTTTTGTGAATGGCTCTCCTCGTCTCTATGTGATTAAGAACGAAGATCTAAGCGACAAAATGAGCATTTTTCGACAGCCCTTTCATTTTTCCTTTAGATCGAAGGACTCGTGCCGCAGAGAATTTGTTGAGAAACGTGTGGCTCATAAGCGATGCTGTAAGGAAGGCTCAGGGTTAGTTCAAAACGCTTCTGCAGATCTCAGTCTTCTTCTCTCGCCGACAAGCGCTGCCATAGGCTTTATGGAAGTTCTCTTTTCTGAACTTATTGACATCAGCTTTCACATTGGCAAGCCGCTTGCGCGACGTTTGGCCTTCACTAACAAGGGAGGTGTTTCAGGTCATGACGCGCTTTTTGGAAATGGTTTGTTGCTTGTTAGGGGTCCATACAAGGGTCAAAAATGGGTTTCATTTTTGCTATGCGTTTCTGGGTAGGTCAAAAACGGAGTGAAAAGAATTTGACAAGAATGGGCGGTTTTAACAACCTTAATGGGCTCCTTTCTGCTGTAACTTCGAGCATGCATTAGTTTATGAGAATGGTCAGCTAATTGAGGCCTCAAAATAGGTTCGATTAAAGTCAAAATGTAAGTATCATGTGGTAACACACTTGGCATGCACCGACGCAAGAGTGATGTTTTTGTCAGCAAACCCTTCACCACCACTGCAAACGGATTGGATGGTGCAGTGGATAACGGTTTTGGATGGCACGGCAAGGGGGCACTTTGTGGATCGGATCCTTCTCGCGGGGGAATGTTTTGCTTTTTTCAGCTTTCCATTCATTCGCGTGCCTGTGGGTCTGCTCGTAGAAGAATAAGTTTTCCACGTATATGCATTTGAGGCATATACTCGTGTGTTGGCCACACTTGTGCCAGGAAAGCGTGCTGTGCCTGCCCCTCTAGTCACATGTCCGATAGGTTATTGGCAATGGAGGAGCCACATCACATTTATGTTCAGCGGGTTGGATTACCCCTGGGGACTAATTTCTAGCCAAGTCTGACGTTTTGACCTTACCTGGAAAATGTGGGCCATTCTATGGACAATTTTGCAGCGGCGGGGGTCCACCCACCATGGATGACTGGTCTTGGGATGGTATTTTCTACCGGTAATCAGGAAAATGATGCAGGCGGCTCATACAAGTGAGCCAGGTATTGTTCTTTGCGAAAAGACATGACTGAAGGGTTATTTCAGTGCAAAGACCAGTCATCACCAGTATGCTAGTCGGATTATTGGCTATCATCCAGGCGCGACCATCTCTACCCCATTTTTTCGAAGTTGAGTCAGAACCTCGGATTTCCTCAAAGGTTGTCTTTTAGGAGGTTGTTTGACCCCCTGAACACGAATATGGTATCTATTTCTTTGCCGCACTGTAGAGAGAGCTGTGAGTCGCGCTACAGGTGCAAATTCACTGCGCCAGCCACCCCGCAAGAAGAAAAACAGCGAAGGAAAACCTATATATAAGTCCGCTCAGAGAATCGTTCCGCAAATTTTAAAGGTAGTTTCGAGTTCATTGTGTCAAGACGAGTACAATGATATGCACTCACTGCAAATGGCCAGGCTGTCCTATTGGCCTTTCCTGGATGACACCTTACAAACCAGCACAGTTGTGTGGAGAACCTTGTTTCCGGAAATGTTCACGTCTCGTTGCGTTGATACAGATGCAAAACTGCTGCCGCAATGAGGATCCGAACCGAGTCCCGCATTGTCGTGCCATACAGAACCCATTCGTGCTATCCGCTACGCCATTCTGATCCGCAAGCAATGGTCATGAAGGGAGCGCTGACAAAAACATCACTCTTGCGTCGGTGCATGCCAAGTGTGTTACCACATGATACTTACATTTTGACTTTAATCGAATCTATTTTGAGGCCTAATTAGTGACCACCTCATAAACTATGCATGCTCGAAGTTACAAGCAGAAAGGAGCCCATTAAGGTTGTTAAAACCGCCCATTCTTGTCAAATTCTTTTCACTGAGTTTTTGACCTACCCAGAAACGCATAGCAAAAATGAAACCCATTTTTGTGACCCTTGTATGGACCCCTACAACAAGCAATAAACCATTTCCAAAAAGCGCGTCATGACCTGAAACACCTCCCTTGCTTAGCGTCACTTTTACCTTATGGAAAAAGTTAAAAAGTTTGGGCACGGATTTTGTATGCAGTTGCTCCCCGAGTGGGCCTCGTATGCTCGTATCTACTACGTCCAAATTCCCGGCTCTAAATAGCTTGAACGCGAATTTGGCAATTATAGAGCACATGCGTTCCTTTGACCACTTTGCGGATTTTGAAGCGCTCCTCCCATTTCAGAACCTCAACCAAGTACTGGAATGGCTGCTGTTGAGTACGCTCATTTTCGTCAGATCAGAATCAGTCTCAGTGTTCTAAAAATATTAAAAACTTGACATAGCGACGACTCAAAGTTATGAACACTCAACACCAAATTGTGCAGACTCCCTTCAGCTGGCTCCCTGCGATGGACGAACAGTTTCTGTACGATTTCACCAAATCAACGTGCTTTTTCTTATGGATTGCATAACAAGGCCACTTATTGAGAAATTCCAAAGTTAAATTGCACACCAGAAAATTAAAAACAAGTACTCTAATACAGTCGTCATCCGGGGACTTGATTAAGGCGGCGAAGACGAGATGTGGCTGCAGCGCTTGCGACCGCGGCGATCAGGTGTGTCCGGCCTAATTTTATGATTTTCCCCCCTAATTTTCGCTGCATTTTTCTATTTTTTAAGGTTAGTTGTTTTATTGTCTTTATGAAGCACATGGAGGGTGTGGAATGCTTTTTTTTTGTTTTGCAATAGAGTGTTTTTGCGATTTTTTTTCAGGTATTTGTTCAATTGTCTGCTTAACTGTTTAATTGTACGCAAAAATCAGAGGAATCTCAATCATAATTTACCTTGTGAAGACAAGGAACAACTAATCTTGAGAAAAGCAGCCAAAACAGTGTAAATTAGGGAGAAAATGGCTAAAATAGGCTGGAAACAGCTGATCGCCGCGCTCGTGACACGCCGCAGCCGCGTCGCGACCCTTGCCGCCCTAATCAAGTCCCCGGATGACGACTGTAATACTGTGTCCAAAAAAGGATGTTGCCGTTTTATTAGCTCATTAATTGATGCAATCGATAGATTCTCCTTTGAATTTGTTGGCAAGATTAATCGTGCCGATATCGTAAGTGGATCGAGGAGTGGCTCCATCCGAAACGAAGTTACGCGGAATGGAGATGCTGAGCTTCTTGTAGCAGAACTGAAATTGTATGTGTATTTACGAGAAGAGAGATTTCTCCACAATTCCTAGCCTTTATAAATAGGTCGCGCAAAATTGCCCTGAATATCAGAAGGTTACAATGTGCGGGAGAAGGTTGTGAAACGGGGAATCCACGTAGCCTCAAAGTGGCGTTGCAAGTGGTGTCATGTGCACGCCATTCGTACAATGAAGGGCCTAATTGATTTGAACACGAACTGTACCCTCATCTCCGTGGATCTCCTGGCCGTGTGAGGAGAGAATGGGTCCGCAGCTGCAGTAGTGTGCCACTTTCTCCTCTCAAAAGTGCACGGAAACGGTGTTATAGGGCAGTGCTACCTTCGGTGGTGCCTACTTTATACACGGTAGGGATCAATGTTCTGGAGTATGCCAGGATCTACACTGGTTCTGGTTATGAACCGGCGTCCAATCCCGTCAATCGGCAGCAGGGCAAATCATTGGTTAGGGATTTTTGATCGAGTCCGTACGTCCCCCCGTTTTTTAAGGGGTTGGTACGACTCCCCTCTCTTCCCCCCCCCCTCCCTGCGGGCCCTCTGCCCTCTCATCGAATCGAGCCGTCGAGCAAGGAGGGAAGGGGTAAATAGTTCGCATGACACAGGAAAATCACGAAAAGTCAACCACCACTCCCACCACTCCTAGAAAGGCCAGGAAGTAAATACGACCCGTACCTTTCCCAGCAATGAGCAAGTACGACCCCCCTTTACAACGTCCGTGAAGCGAGCAAAATCAACTAGCCCAATGAATCTTTCTTAACCTAGATACGACCACCCCCCGGCGACCAAATAATACGGACCTCCCCCTGTTGGGATTCCCCAAAAACGCATGTGTCCCTGGTCGACAGAAATGGAATGTCATAAAGTGGGTAATCAGGATGTCGAGCAAACCCCTTCATATTGCGTGTCATCACAAACACTTTTCGCCTCACAGTGTGTACAATGCAAAGCTGTTACCCAGTGGGCGAATCGATATTGAACCATAAGAATCGAAAACTCACTCCACGATAGTTGCACTTGTGGTAAATGTTCACTTTCGGATCAATGGTGCTGAATTCTCTCTTGTGTCCTGACACCCTGAACTCACCATTCCTGTTCGTGCGAGTTTGGCCCAGCTTGCTATCGAGCACTGAAATGTTATTGAAATATTCTGTAGTGTGATGACGTCTAGTTAGTGGAATACTCCCTCCCGAATAGAATGTTTGGTTAGGTTAGTGAAGGAACTGCAACCTCAATCAATACATACCGACTTCCTTATCGTACAGTTTCACCTTTACATCGTACGCCGGTCTTCCTTCACAAATGAGTCGTCCAGTAACAGCTACCGATTGTTCTCTTCCGAGGAAGCCCAGTAACGCCATACATGAAGATATGAGAAGAAGCAGAATAGCAAGTCGCAGCATTATGTCACCTTAACAACGAAATCTGAGACTTTATGTGTTGCCAACACATTCGCTTATCGCAGCGTAGCCCGGAGTAGTCGGAAATCGTGGCCCGGAATTCAGAAGGTACTGTAACTTCCATTTCTCGTGGCCTTGTAAAGGTTTTCTCGCGCGATAAAAAAAGTGTGGCCAATGATAAATTTTAAGCGTTGTTCTAGTCCCATGAGGTATGTAGCAGGGTTATCAAAGTTCAAACAGAGATGCGGGTAACGTATTCACTTACAAATCTTACCGTAGCAAAAAGTGACTTGGTCATCGCATTTGAATTGGCTTCTTATGGTTATAGAAACATTCCGCAATTACTCCACGCCACTTGCGGTATATGATGCATTTAACATGACGCTACTTGCAGATGTGCCAGTGACCTCTTTCTGGAAGTAAACCCAGATTGCACGCGTAACCTCCCTCCAGTGTAGAACCGATCTGAGCGCGTCTTCGGAGCTTCTGTACAGCCTTCTCTTCGCTGATAAACCAACTGACATCTACTCCGCATTCGAACTTCGAACTCCCGAGCTCACGAACTGTCAGCGCGAAGTGTATCTTTAGACGTCACAGTCAATTCAACTATTTTGCCCCAAGTGCTAAGTAGAGTGCAGAGCTGTCCCGATTTACAAACACTTGTCGCGCCGGAGCGATGTGCTACACACCTACAGTCACGCTCCTGCAAGCGATAGGGCGTGTGAAGTGGCGTGAATTGGAAGCTAATTCGGCATTTTTCCACCATTCTGAAATCCTGCGTTCGCAGAAACTGAGAAAGGACTACCCTGGTGGTGCATCAACTCGTGCCCCCTCATACGCCATTCCGTTTCCACGGATCCTGACTATAAGTACATTCTGTATCCTAGAATGAGAGGGGTCGTGATTGCGGGCTGGGTATCGCTTCCTGACAGCAGTATCAAGAATTTATGCTCTTTCAGTATTATACTGCACCCAGTCAGCACTTTCATTAGTTGAGTGCCACTAGGCTTTGAATGCAAAAATCATTTTAAGTAAATCATTTCGTTACCAGAAACTGCCAGTTTTCCAAGGTCAGGGCCACACCATCAAGTACGCAATTACGACTAATCTATCTCCTAGATATACGTTCTATAGATAGGAGGCTGCCCACAGTATTGATGATGGGGTGCCCTCACCGTTATTCTTACTACACATATTGTTTTGCAAATTATGAATCAGAGCGAATTTTAAAGCCTCTTTGGAAAGACAGAGAGCTTGGCTCAATACTGTAGCTTTAAGTCGCTGAAAGCGAGATATGAGTTCTCCAGAGAAGTCAGAATAGCATGCCTAGCAAAATCATGCAAACTACGCATGATTTTGTAATTGCAGTGCGCCGCAGATGAACGGTGAGTCAAGTCACAAACGAAGACGAGACGTTGTTTCTTAAAAATGGGAACGAAATTACAATAATGGGAACGAAACCACAATTAAATCATGGG